TGTAGTGGTCAATGACATCCAATGGATTGTCATGTCACAGTGTTGTAGTGGTCAATGACATCCCATAGGATGGTCACGGTCATAGTGTTGTAGTGGTCAATGACATCCCATGGATGGTCATGTCACAGTGTTGTAGTGGTCAGTGACATCCCATGGATGGTCATGTCAGAGTGTTGTAGTGGTCAGTGACATCCCATGGATGATCAGGTCATAGTGTTTTAGTGGGCAATGACATCCCTTGGATGGTCAGGTCTTAGTGCTGTAGTGGTCAATGACATCCCATGGATGGTCATGTCACAGTGTTGTAGTGGTCAGTGACATCCCATGGATGGTCAGGTCGTAGTTTTGTAGTGGTCAGTGACATCCCGTGGATGGTCAGGTCGTAGTTTTGTAGTGGTCAGTGACATCGCGTGGATGGTCTGGTCTTAGTGCTGTAGTGGTCAATGACATCCCATAGATGGTCAGGTCTTAGTGTTGTAGTGATCAATGACATCCCATGGATGGTCATGTCACAGTGTTGTAGTGGTCAATGACATCCCATGGATGGTCAGCTCTTAGTGCTGTAGTGGACAATGACATCCCATGGATGGTCATGTCACAGTGTTGTAGTGGTCAGTGACATCCCATGGATGGTCAGGTCGTAGTTTTGTAGTGGTCAGTGACATCCTCTGGATGGTCAGGTCTTAGTGCTGTAGTGGTCAATGACATCCCATGGATGGTCAGGTCTTAGTGCTGTAGTGGTCAATGACATCCCACGGATGGTCATGTCACAGTGTTGTAGTGGTCAGTGACATCCCATGGATGGTCATGTCACAGTGTTGTAGTGGTCAGTGACATCTCATGGATGGTCATGTCGTAGTTTTGTAGTGGTCAGTGACATCACGTGAATGGTCATGTCACAGTGTTGTAGTGGTCAGTGACATCCCATGGATGGTCAGGTCATAGTTTTGTAGTGCTCAGTGACATCCCATATATGGTCAGGTCTTAGTGTTGTAGTGGTCAATGACATCCCATGGATGGTCAGGTCTTCGTGCTATAGTGGTCAATGACATCCCATGGATGGTCAGGTCTTAGTGCTGTAGTGGTCAATGACATCCCATGGATGGATGGTCAGGTCTTAGTGTTGTAGTGATCAATGACATCCCATGGGTGATCAGGTCATAGTTTTGTAGTAGTCAGTGACATGCCATGGATGGTCAGGTCTTAGTGCTGTAGTGGTCAATGACATCCCGTGGATGGACAGGTCTTAGTGCTGTAGTGGTCAATGACATCCCATGGATGGTCAGGTCTTAGTGTTGTAGTGGTCAATGACATCCCATGGGTGATCAGGTCTTAGTGCTGTAGTGGTCAATGACGTCCCATGGATGGTCAGGTCGTAGTTTTGTAGTGGTCAGTGACATCGCGTGGATG